AAATCGGATCTGACTTGTACAGGAGGAGATTGCCCCTCCTTCTCCAGCAGAGCATCTGGTGGGTTCGAACCCTCATACCTTTGGGATTGCAGTGCAGCTTCTTGCCACTAGGCCACCAGAGCTCCCTTGGTTGCACTTTCTTTAAGACCTTCTTGTTTGTTTTCTTAGCAGTCCGTCCTGTACTCTTCTCCGTCACAACTCAGAGGCATAGATTCTTTTGCTGTTATCCTTAGTATTGTCCAATACTAAGATGCACAGGAACTAATTGAAAAGATCATGACTTGAATCAGATGCACTCTAGTCTTTAAACTGACACTGGGTGCTTGCTTCGGCAGCACATACACTGAAATTGGAACGATGCAGGGAAGATTAGCATGGTCCCTGTGCAAGGATGACACACAAATTTGTGAAGCATTTCATATTTTGCACAAGTTACAAAGGGAATATATGGTTTCCAATGTTGAAACACTTCTCACAACAGAAATATTAACATTTAAAATCTATAATGTTAAAGAAAATAAATGGAGGTGTACAAATAAAGCTTATTAAAAAGCAACAACAACAAAACTCCAAAACTGACATTGTTGCTCCTTAGTGCCGTGCAGAGGTTCCTAAGAGTAAACTTTTCCAATGGAATACATCTTTTGATTTCTTGACTTCTGGTACCCAAGGTACTGATTGTAGATCCAAGCAAGTTGAAATCATTGACAACTTCAGTTCTTTTCTTCATCTGTCATGATGTTGCCTGTTGGTCCAGTGATGAAGAGTTTTATTTTCTTGATATTGTTGTTGTCAGGTGCTTTTTAGTCAAGCATGGCTCATAGCAACCCAGTGAATAAAAGATCTAAAACTCTGTTCTATCCTGCACCATCCCCACACTTCCTGGCACACAAGAGCCCATTGCAGCAGTCACAATGTCATTCCACCTGATTGAGGGTCTTCCTCTCCTTTGCTGACCCTCCACCCTTCCAAGCATCATGTCCTTGTATGTGAGGCAAAACCTCATCATTCTTGCCTCCAAAGAGCACTCTGACAGCACCCTCTCCAAGACATATCTGTTCATTCTCTTGGCCATCCATGTTCAGTCAATCAGTTTTGAAGGCTGTAGTCCTTGATTTTCTGCAAAAAGTGTTTCAAGTCCTCCTTTCCAGCAAGCAAGGTTATGCCATCTGTATCACGCATGTTATTGATGAGTCTTCCTCCAGCTTTGATGCCACACTTTTCCTAAAAGTCCAGCTTGAAAACCAGAGCTTCCTGTGTTGTTGTTGTTGTTTCTTTGTGTGTTGTTGTTTTGTTATGTGCCATCAAATCACTTGTGACTCATAGAGATCCTATGTACAACAGCTCTTACCCAGCCTCTATCTTGAACCAATATCATTGTCTCTGACGCACCTACCCCCATTACCCCATTCACTGAGTTAGTCCATCTCATAGAGGATCTTCCTCTCTTGTGCTGTCCCTCTACCGTCCCAAGCATGATGTCCCTTTCCAGGGACTGGTTCCTCCTTGCAGCATGCCCAAAGTATGTCAGATGGAGCTTCAGAATCTTTGCCTCCAAGGAGCAGCTTGGCTTCACCCTCTCTAGGACGAACCTGTTTGTTCTCTTGGCAGTCCATGGTATATTCAAAACTCTTCTCCAGCACAACTCAAAGGCACCAACTCTCCTTCTGTCATCTTTAGTCATATTCCAGCTTTCTGATGCATAGCAAGTAATTAAGAAGACTATAGTCTTGATCAGTTGCACTCTAGTCTCCAGACTTACATCAGTACTCTGGAGAGGTCCCTGACAGCAGATTTTCCCAGTGCAATTTGTCTTTTGAATTTCTTGGCTGCTGGTACCAAGAGTATTGATTGTGGAGCCAAGCAAACTGAAGCTGTTGACAATCTCAACCTCTTCACCATCTATCATGATGCTGCCAGTTGGCCCAGTAGTGAGAATCTTTGTTTTCTTGATGTTGAGTATCAGTCCATATTGAAGACTGCAGTCCTTGACCTTCTTTAGCAAATGCCTCAGGTCCTCCTCAGTTTTGGCAAGCAATGGCACTACCTCTGGGCAGAGCAACTTCAAGAGAACGCCTCAGCTGGCGGCTTACTGGGACTTCACATTAGTACTTTAATGTTTTCTTTGCTGCCAGGAAAAAGCAGACAGTGTGCATGAAGGCTGTCGGCACAGTCATACATATGAAAGGTGAGATGATGACCAGCTGAGCTCGTTGCAGGCCTTTTTAAAACAGTTTTAGAGTCTTGGAGACAAAACCATAATTCTTTCTTAGTCCAACCACCTGTCAGCTCTAAGTGGTCATTATTTCATCATTTTGCAATAAAAGATAATAGAATAACGATTGATATCTGGCGGCTGATGTTTTAATGTGTCTCTCTGTTATCTTGGGCTGACAGTCTGTGATGACAGTAAACGTTCTCTTGGTGACACTGTGGTAATGATTTGTTGATAGGAGGATTAGTCCATGTTTAACTCATGTTGCTGGGAGACCAGCCCCTGCCTTACCTGCCTTGGGTGGGAGCCAATGGGAGGGACTTTGTGCTCAGCTGGGAGGCCTGTGCTATGCCCTTCCCTGGCATGGATGCAGGGTTACCGGAGCTCTGAGTACATAGCCAGAGCACAGCACTGCCTTTGAGCTCTCTTAGGTACCTATTCCCTATTTAAAAGAGGCTGTGGCAGCAGGGATATCATTGCTGGTCTCAGATGGATGCTGGCTGAAAGTAAAGATTACCAGAAGAATGTCTATTTATGCTTTCTTGACTATGCAGAGGCATTTGACTGTGTGGATCCTAACAAGTTATGGCTAACATTGAGAAGAGTGGGAATCCCAGAACACTTAATTGTGTTCACGTGAAATCTATACCTAGACCAACAGGCTATTGTGCAAGCAGAGCAAGGGAACACTATACGGTTTAAAATTAAGAAAGGAGTGCGTCAGCATTGTATGCTCTCTCCTTATTTATTCAATCTGTATGTGGAGCAAATTATTCGAGAGGCTGGACTCCATGAAGAAGAATGTGGTATCAAGATCGGAGGGAAACTCATCAATAACCTGCACTAGGTAGATGATACAACCTTGCTTGCTGAAAGTAAGGAGGACTTGAAGCACTTGCTGCATAAGCTAAAAAAAAAAATTAAAAAATATCGCCTTCAAAATGGATTGCATCTGAAAGTCAAGAAAACAAAGATTCTTACTACTGGACAAATAAGCAACATCATGATAGAGAAAAGATTGAAAATTGTCAACAACTTCATCTTCATCTTACTTGGATCTACAGTTAACATCCTTGGTACCAGCAGTCAGGAAATCAGGAGACGTATTGCATTGGGAAAATCTGTGGTTAGAGATCTCTCTAAGTTATTGAGGAGTAATTACGTAAATTTGTGGACTAAGGTGCATCTGATCCAGGCCACTTTCTTCAGATCACATGCTGTGCATCTGAGAACTGGACAGTGAAAAGGATGAGAGAAGAAGAATTGATGCTGTTGAACTGTGGTGTTGGAGAAGAGTGCTGAACATCCCATACCAAAAGCATAAGTCTTGGAGAGATTGCAGCCAGAGTGTTCTTTGGAGGCAAGGATGATGACATACTTCAGGCATGTTGCTAGGAGAGCAGTTCCTTGGAGAGGGACATGATTCTCAGAAAGGTGGAGCGTCGAAGAAGGAGAGGAAGACTCGACAAGGTGGACTGCCACAGTAACTGCCACAGTGGGCTCCAGTGTGTCAGGAAGTGTGAGGGTGGCATGGATAGGACAGGGTTCAGATCTGTTGTTCATATGGTCACTATGAGTCATACTCGATTCAACAGCACCTAACAACAACAACAACAATCAGCGACACCTTTTGCATCTTGTGCTTAGTGATTATCAGGTTTAAATAAAAGCAACTGCTTTTAATTCAATGAAATAGAAAAGCTGTAGAGTGAAGAGGACTGCATTCCAGACAGGTGTGTGTGATGAGTCGGCCCAGCTGGGCCATCTTTCCTGGTGTTTCCTCTGCCTGATGGTTGGCAGGAAAGCAGACCCACTGTACAGCTTCAAGCCTCACAACCAGCTCTCACTGCATCGTCTCCTACTTGTCGTGCCCAATGTGTGTAGGGTAGAACAGCCCTCTGTAAAACATCCAAAGCCTGATTTTACAGAATTAGATTGTCAGTCATTTCTTTAGCAATCCCTCTGGGCGGATTCGAGCCTCCAGCCTTTATGTTAGCAGCTGAGCATGTTAGCCATTTGTACCTTCCAGGACTGGAAAACCTTTGGACTCATTTTTAATTTTCAGCTACTTGACTTGGTCCCCAAGAACTCTCAAATTTATCTCAGGCTCATTTCCATCACAGAAAGGTGTCAATTGGGCTTTGAGCTGAGGATAATTAAAATAATATTTGAGTTGGAGCTAATTAAAGATTTCTTCACCTGAAGAAATCTAAAGATTTTTTTTTTAGTTTAAATGAAATCCTTTTGTATGGAGCTTTGTCATTTCATTACTGTCAAATTTGAACCGAGTAGAGCTGACCCTTCAGCAGGCTTCTGAGACGGCAAGTCTCACAGGAGGAAATGCCCTATAGTTATGCTTAAAATAGGACGTTAGGGTCAGTATTGGCAAGTTGTGACCTGAAGTTTTAAATACTGAGCATAGGTGATACTTGGAACATCAGATGGCTTACCAAATGTATTTCTGTGTGGTGGACTTAGGCTGTGTCTGATTTAACTGTGGTCCTCCCTGGTGATGGATCTGCCTAGCACCCTTTTCTCTTGAGGGTCTGGGCTCCATCTCCGACTCTGTGAAATGGAATTCCTGGGAGATAGATCCTTGGGGCACTAGTAAGTTGCCCGATTTCTTGGATGTTAGACTCTTCGAAGATCTGTTGCCAATTCTGAGAGAGTATCTCACTATGCTTGTCTTTTCCTCTGGCCCCAAGGTTGGGATTGTAGTGGGAGACCCCTCTGCAGCCTATCATTGAACCCCCGTCTCAGTGGTCCTGTGATTTCTCTTCTGCAGCCCTTGTATTTCCACACTTCCTTAAACCACCCTAACATCGTGGCGGTGGTAGAAGTTGTCACTGAAGGGCAGAAACGGGATGGCACCTCCCAGTCGTTGTCTTGTGGGTTTGGAATTCTTCGGATCTTCAGCAACAAGCCCGAATCTCCTACCTCAGCTTCCCAGGACAAAAGGTATCCACCTTATTCTCTCCATCTGGGGGGTTGTTCTGGCATCTTTCAAAGGGAATTGAATTGCTAATTATTTGGCTACAGTGGGAAGCTCTAGATTTGTCACCTTATGTGAATTTACCCCCTTTTGAGCTAGTAAGTGTTTGGATATCTTAAACTGGTTCAGTGATCTTTAAGTTGATTTGATTATGTTAAACAGCATTTCTGCCCCAAGAAACACCTGGAGAAATCTTCCTTTTCTTTTACTTGTTCATTTTGGTAGAGATTCAGGACCCTCTAGAGGGCCAGATGTGCCCTCAAGGACACCCCCCCCGCCCCGCCCCCCCCTGCCCCTCAAGCCAGTTCTTAGATACACAGCCTGAGGGAAGTTCCTTAGCTCTTGTCTTTCTTGGAACCTTCCCATGGACTATGGTTTCCTTTGGTGAGGCTTTGCAGCTCTGGGGCTGCATTGGAACAGCACTGTGTGTGCTGGGTGTGCATGGCCAGGGGCACCAGTGAGGCTGTACAGCATTTAGAAAGCTCTTGTGGGTGTGCTGGTGTTTGGGGGACCCTGCATGCTTTCCTGTTAGAACAAGCCCAGCTGAGGTTTGGTGACAGAACATGAGACAAGGATGGCTGATGTGCACATGTCGGTCTTCTTTTCCAGGTTGAGGTTGTATCATGGCACCCCCAGAGCCCTCCTGCACCCACAGCTCCAGGACCCCATAGAACGTAAGCTCAAGCCTGACCTGACTGTGGCCCACGGCCGGTGGAGTGCTGCCACCTCAACGACACCTGTCGGTCTCACAGCTTTCTTGCGTGTCACCCACCTTTAGATGTGTCTTGTCATCTTTTTTTCAATAGAAACCACTAGCAGTGGAATATCTTTGTTTAGTAGGTTTGGCAGAATATATCATGAGATAGGTCTTCTAACTGAGTGTGAAGGACTTAGTAACAGGGGAAGAAGGCCTTATTCTGCGAAGAGGAATAGGATGGGGCTACTGGAGTGATGGAGGGAGGAGTGGAGTGGCCAGTGTCAACCTCAGACTCAGCTTCTTGAATGAGATCTCGGCTCTGAAGCCCTTTGTTACCTGCAGTCCTGTGAGGTTTCCCCTGCTCTGCCTAATTGCCCTTGGCCCCACTGACTTCAGTGAGGCCTGGTGATGAGAAACTGCCTGCAGATTGAAGACTGACTGCCTGCCGGTGGGGTTTGTGGGACAGCCTCCTCCAATCACAGGGGTTACTAGCTAGAAAGGACGTGCTGTGTCCGCTCAGACCCTGTGCTTGTGTCAATCCACTGGACTCTAGTTCTTGTAGATGACCTTGTTTGTGTAAGGTATCTACTGTAGGAAAAGTGATTCCACTGACATACTTTGAAAGCTGTATCCTGCCTGAGCAAGGCGAAGCCTTTCTGCCCTCGCTGGTGGGCGATGTGCTCTTGTGTTCAGACTGGGTGCCTGTGCCCAGCCTTGGGAGACAGCAGTCCTAGCTGACCTCACTGGAGAGGAAGGGAATACGAGGTCTACCCTAGCAGCAGGGTCTCCTCTGGGACCAGTGCCAGCTGCTTGGGAGAAAGAATTCCTTCGTAGGCAGCACACATTCAGTAAGAGTCTGCTCTGTACCTGGTAGCAGGACCACAGCAGTGAATGACACCAATTATGATTGAAAGCAAACGTCAATAGACAAGATGAAATAAGACTTTTAGTTAATGATTGTTGTTGTTGTGTGCTTTCGAGTTGGAACCAACCCATAGCTTCCAGTGGGTTTTCAGAGGCAGTAAATCACAAGGGATGAGATTGCTTATCCTCCTGCAGAGCAGCTGATGGATTTAAACTGTGTACTTTGGAGATTGCAGCTCAGCTTCTTAACTCTAGGCCACCAGTGCTGGCTAGGTAATGCTTAGTGCAATGGAAAAAAAGAAAATTGGCCAAGAGTGTACATAGGGGAGCTACCTTCAAAGGTGAACCTGTTCTCTGAAGGACATCAATTTAGTTGAGACGTAAATGAGGAAGCAGAAGCAGTCCTGCAGACCACTAGAGTAGGAGGAGGGGAGGGAGGAGTGCTTCAGGTGCAGGGGAAAAGCCAGTGCAAAGGCCCTGGGGTAGAGATGAGCTTGGCCACAGAAGAGGGGCAGGTTGTAGGATTCAGCCTTGCACCTTGAAGGAAGACCAGCTTCTGCTTACAAGCAATTTCTGGTCTCCCTCTGATGATGGAGACTATGCGTGGTACCTGAAGGAAAGACATGTTCCTCTGCCTGCTCCTAGCTTGGGTACTGAGGGAGGAGAAGAATGGGAGGGGTTTTGTTATAGATTAAGTATCTCCTTCATTGCAGTTTATCAGAGAGAGTTATTAAAGATTGATTTTCCCCCCTCTCTTTTAGGCTGAAATAGCAATTCCCTTCTATCTCTAGTAAAGCTCTTTTTCTGTTTGTGCTGTTTCTCTGAGATTCTCAACTTGCTGGCTGGGCTGGTGGGAAGCACTTTGGGCCTCAGGTCTTACATAGAATGTCTTCTGTGCAGAGAACAAGCACCTGACCCTCCTGGAGAACTGCAGCCTGCAGTACACCCTGAGGCCCCACCCGGCCCTGGAGCCCGCGCTCCACCTCCTCCCCGAGAACCTCCTGGTGTCCGGCTCGCAGCCCATCCCGGGCCTCCTGCCAGCACATGGGGAAGCAGGTAAGGCTCCTTTTCTCTCCACCAGGGAGTTTGTGTTCACTTACCGTCCAGGCTGCTGGAGTGTGTGGGGGTGCAGGCTGCATGACCAAGGGCACCACTTCACTGCTCAGCAGGGCCACCCACCCGTGTGATGGTGAGGATGACCCTGGTCCTCCATTTAATCTCTTCCTGGCTAACAGATCATGCCCCTCGAGCTCATGTCCTTGTGATTGTGGCCAGGAAAGCTATGGTGCTTGAGCGTACCCTTGTTATACCTGTGACAGCGGAGGACTCTACTGTGGTGTGGGTCCTAGAAAGGGATGCTGTTTGGTGGACTGTGGCCACCCTTCCTGTGAAGCTGCGAGACCACTGTGGTGGGGGGCTCCTGCAGGCCTCAGTCCCTTTCCTGCCCTCCTTCTGGCCCCGTAGAAGTCTGTTTCAAGGAATTCAGAAGGAAGCCACCACCCTTCCCCACCTGCTGCCTTCGGTGGCTCCTGGTGTCTCAGTGGGCAGCTACTTGCTTGCTTTCCAGTGAGCACTCCTGGGCCATGTTTGGTTCCACGTGGAAACATGCACAGCCCTGAAGAAAGGGCGGCCCTGGCTCAGCCCCAGCTGAGGGAGAGTGCGTGTGGCTGAGCTGTCTCTGCCAGCCATCGGCCTCCTGCTCATAATGGGATGCAGGTGCGGTTGTCTAAGTTACTAGATTTCCTGCTTGGGCTCCTGGTGGTCGTCACTAGGTTCTTTTCCTGGCTCCCAGGGGAGTGACAATGAGAAAGGACAGATGATAAATCAAGCAGGGGCACCTCATAAGCCTTACCTGTGTTCCCCACAGTCTGCTTTTTGGAAGCCATAATTTGCCTGTGTTCTCTCAAAATTAAGACTGAGTTTGACATGGAGAAACTACAGCTTCATCGATGCTGAGAGTTGAGTGGAGAGGCTGTGGGAATCTACTCCTGGGCCCATCGGTTACAGAGGTACTGTGAGCTCCTTGGTGATAGATGCCTGTGCCCATCTCAGTATTAAGAACCTTGATGCAGATATTCTTTAGGTATTCTTACTCAAAGTTGTCTTACTTGGGGTTCTAGGCACTCAAACAGAATGTTCGGGGCATGAGATACATCTGTCACCTTGTGACTTGCTGATGGGTGTCAGTAGAACAGGAAATAAAACAGAAAAGTGCATGAAGGCTGTAACATGTGCTCACTTCATTGCTGTGATGATGAGAGACACTTAGAGGCCCACCTTTCATCCTCAGGATCTTTGTTCCGTAGGATCAGGCCACACTGTGTGAGAGGTCATAGTTGTTGTTATGTGCTATCGAGTCGCCTGTGACTCATAGCGACCCTATGTACAATAGCCCTAAACCCTGCTATCCCTTGCCAATCTTATTGTCTCTGACATACCTATCCCCATTACCCCAGTTACTGAGTCAATCCATCTCCTCGAGGGTCTTCCTTTCTTGTGCTGTCCCCCCACCCTCCCAAGCATGACATCCCTCTCCAAGGACTGGTCCTGCCTTGCAACATGTCCAAAGGATGTCAGACGGAGCCTCAGAATCCTTGCCTCCAAGGAGCAGCCTGGCTTAACCCTCTCCAGGACAAACCTGTTCATTCTCCTAGCAGTCCATGGTATATTCAGCATTCTTCTCCAGCACCACAGCTCAAAGGCATCAATTCTCCTTCTAGCATCCCTAGTCATTGTCCAGCTTTCTGATGCATAGCAAGTAATTGCAAAGACCATGGCCTGTATCAGGCACACCTTAGTCTCCAGACTGACATCGTTGCTCTTTGGAGGTCTCTGACAGCAGACTTTCCCAATGTAATTCATCTGTTAATTTCCTGGCTGCTGGTATCAAGAATGTTGATTATAGAGTCAAGCAAACTGAAGCTGTTGACAGTCTCAATCTCTTTACCATCCATCATAATGCTGCCAATCAGTTCAGTGGTGGGAATCTTTATTTTCTTCATGTTGAGCTTCAATCCATATTGAAGGCTGCAGTCCTTGACCTTCTCCAGCAAGCACTTCAGGTCCTCTTCGGTTTGAACAAGAAGGATTATATCATTTGCATAACGCAGATTGTTGATGAGTCTTCCTCCAGTCCTGATTCCACATTTCTCCTCAGAGAGCCCAGCTTCCCTTATGTAATCTGTTCCGCATATAGATTGAAAAGATATGGAGATAGGACACATCCTTGGCACACACCCTTCCCAATTTTGAACAAAGCGCTATTTCCTTGCTCTGTTCTGATGACTACCTCTTGGTCCAAGTATAGGTTTTACTTAAGCACAAATCAAGTGTTCTGGGATTCCCATTCTTCTCAGAATCAGCTACAGTTTATTGTGATCTACACAGATAAATGTCTTTGCATAATCAATGAAACACAGATAGACATTCCTCTGGTATTCCCTGTTTTCAGCCAAGATCCATCTGACATTAGCTATAATAATCCCTAGTACCACAGCCTCTTCTAAACCCAGCTTGCACTTCAGGCAGTACTCTGATGAGTCTTGAACTAAAGGAAGAAGCAGAAGCAGAGAGTGTGTGCATTACCTAGGCTCACATTCGTGTTCCAGAAGAGCCACTAGCCTGTTTCCTCCTGCTGGCCTCCCTTGTGTCGTGGCCATCAGTCACTGAGACACTTAGCAGATGCAAGCAGTGAAGTCCCAAACACACACCACGATTTATGTGGCTGTTGTTGAATATCGGCCAGGGAGTCCAGGAGCCGGTCCGAGCACACGCTGCTGTCGGGAGGGGGTGCTGACTCCACAGAGCCGAGCCCTGCGGAGAAGCGAGCCTGGAAACACATTTTCACATTTACTCCCTTGGTGACCATTCTAGAAAGAAAGCCATTTTGCTCAGCCCTCTCTGATGTGCAGGATGCCACAGTTAAAATATGGCTTGCAGGCATGCAGACCCAGCATCTGCTTTTGACAGTTGTTATTATCTCACTTATAAATTCTGCCCATGAACTTGTGGACCTTTGAGGCTTTCTCATGAAAAGGAGCTTCTTTGCTGGATATTGTTTTATTGCTGGAAGGGCCAGCACGGGGACGGGTCCCTGCTGTGGTAGTGGGGCAACCTGGTCTCATTTGTAGAGGTTCAGGCTTTGTTTTGGCTTCACATTAGGAGTCAAATAGTCATTCAGCTGTCAAACGCCATAGTGTGCTGTTGTTGTTGTTATGTACCATCCAGTTGGAACTGACCCATAGCTGACTCTCCAATGGGTTTTCAGTCTGTAAATGACACGGGAGGCGATTGCCCATCTTTCTTCCTTGGAGCAGCTGGTGGATTTGAAATGTGTGCCTTTGGGTTAGCAGTGCAACCAACTCCTTATCACTAGGCCCCCCGAGGTGGTGGTTATGTGCCGTCGAGTCACCTCCGACTCATAGCGACCCTATGTACAGCAGCTCTGAAGGCTGCCCTGTCCTGAGCCAGTCTCGTTGACTCTGACACACTTACTCTCATTGCCCTAGTTACTGTGTCAATCCATCTCATCCAGGGTCTTCCTGTCCTGCGCTGTCCCTGCACCCTTCCAAGCATCATGTCCTTCTCCAAGGATCAGCCCTTATGGGATGATTGGAGAGGATATTCACATGCAGTTATAATAAACATACAGAGAGCTTCTGTTGACCCTTGGCCCTGTTTCCCACAGGGACAACATATTTGCTCCGCTCTAGTTCAATATCACAACCAGTATCAATGTTCACAGGACCCACCAATCTGGTTTGGGTTTCCCCAGCTTGCCCTGTTTTCACATATATGAAGACTGCTGAGTTATCCTTGCAGCTTGGGAAGGAGTGGAAATACTTGGCAGCATTCTGTCACTTGTCAGAAAAGCAGGTTCTCTTCCTGGACAGCTTCTGCAAAGCACTCTTGATCCTAGACTCTAATTTCTTTGCACGAGAATCTCATTTCTTTGTGCTGGGTGGGATCACCAGCTAGTGCCTTTGCTTTGACTTCAGCTGGGGTGACGTGGCACCTAGAACACTGGATGGTCCCAGGGCGGCGGGCAGCTGGGCAGCATTCAGATGGTGTGTTATAGCAGGTGAGTTGACAAGCAATAATGTAGTTGTATCTTGTGAGCTCGATGCCAGGGTTGCTGCTGAAGGCTAGGCTCCTTGCTGGCCACCCATGGCTATAGACAACGGAGACGTAATGCCTTCTGTTCCCTTAGGAGGTGACCCTCCCTCCCTTCCTCGGTTTATCCCCACACCTGTATAGTGCTGGCTGCCATGGTACCAGGTGGCTTTCCCCAACATCACCAGCCCCTCCCACTTTAGCCTGTGCTCTGCCTGCGTGTCCCTCCCAGTATGCTGTGCACGTCACCCGTGCTGTTGCTGAACCATCTCTGCCATTTGGATAGCCCCCCATCCTGTTCAAGAATAACCTTCCTGAAGCACTGAACAGGCAGCCCTGCTGGCCTAGAGGCAAGAGCTGCACTGCATTCTGGAAGGGGTTCGACTCTCTCAGCTGCTTGGTGGGAAAAGGATGGACCATCTCCTCCCGTGTGATTAAACTGCCTCTGAAAACCCACAGGATGGTCAGCTATGGGTTGGTTCTGACTTAACAACAACAACAAAGCACTGATCACATGTACTCCTGTCCTTCAGCTTCTCTTTTGGCTCTAACCTCTTGACTTTGACTTTCAGTATCTTTGATCCCTGTCGGCCTCTCAGACGCTTCCTTCCTTTATGCATGCGCTCCGCTGGCCCTTGCATCTCATTTGGGATTTGTGAAGGGCCACCCCTGCCCATGTGGCAGCAGGAGTCAGGAGTGTCTGGCTTTCTCCAGCTCTGCACTTCCTCACACTGACCATCCTGGCAGAACCTTTCACTGTCTGACTCCTCGGGGTCCTGGACTGGGCCCATGGCTCCTGGCTCATCTTGTTCCCAGTGCGAAGCTGGTCCTCTTCTGGTCCTGCCCTCCCTATCTTTTAGATTCAGAGTCCCTAGAGCTGTCTTGAGAATGAACGAGCTGGCATTGTATCTGGTGGGTAGCAGACCTGTTCTTAATCCGTATTG